TGGCTCTGCCACTGGGCGCGGGGCCCTCTTAGGCGCGGGGCCCGATTCGGGGGAATTGGTGGAATTGGCCTAAAGCCGGCCTGCTGGGGAGCCGGTCCAGGGCTTGTCCTGCTCTTTGTGACTCCCGGAAGCAGCGGCATGTCCCCCTCCTGCTCCTACATGTAGGGGCAGCCAGGGGATTCCACAAACTGCCAGCACTCCAAACACTGGCCTGGCAGCTTCCATTGGCCTTGAACCTCATTTCTGGCCCCACCCCAGAGCTGTCACCCCAACCCCCATTTTCATGGGCATTAATTGCCAGCCATACAATTTCCATATCCACCAAATTCATCCCAATGAGTCTAAAGTTAATTGTAAGCATCCTTTCTCTGATAGTTATATCTGGTCTACACTGGCCAAGTGTATTTAAACTACATTAGCATGAACTGGATTGAAGCCTGTACAGCTATCATGTTGTCTTCTATGTCACGTTCAGCAATCCTGAATTAATTTTTGTCCGTGGGTTTTGGAGATGGCTCTGTAAGAAACCAAATAAATTATTTGTTGTAATCTATTTAATTTCCATCAATTAAAGTGCAATCTTCTTTTCTATTTGCAGTAGCTCTTTCCCAGTGGCTTAATATTTAATCTTATATCAGTGTTTCCAAATTGAAGGGGCTCCCTCAGCAGTGCCGAACTATTTCAGGGGGACAGGCAACAGAAGAGACGATCAATATGGTTACATAAACTGAAGGACCCAGAACTATCCCTGCAAACTTGCTAGGTAGCTCCTTAAAAGTCACCCACTTCCCTTGTTCACCTAACAAGACTGCAAGTAAAATTTTCAAATATGCAAAGTGACTTAGTAGCCTATGTGAAAATGGGAGTTAGGTGCCTCAATACCTTTGAGGTTCAGGGCCTTAGGAGCTTAAATCCTCTTGATTTTCAATGAGACTCCAAAGTGCCTAATTCACTTTTGAAAACAGCACTTAGATTCCTAGGTCAGTTAGGTGGTTTTGAAAATGTTATCCTACATCTTGCCCCCATTGTGGCCTCAGGGTAGATGCCTGAGAGAGCAGCTAACATAATTCAAGGTGGAGGTCCAGGTAACAACTTACCAGCTCACCCAAGATTCACATCTCTGCTCCCAAGGCACTCAGGTTATCCTTGGGTGTACCAAATGGATGGCCCCTGCCCCAGCAGCCCATAGCCTTTTGGAGAATGGGGGAATGAAGGAGACGATTATCAAGTGATCTATCCCTTGTCGCCTATTCCGAGCTTCTGGCAAACAGAGGCTAGGGACACTTCAAAGCATGGTTTTGCATTCCTGCCCATCCTGGCTAATACCCATTGATGGGCTTATCCATCATGAACTTATCTAGGTCTTTTCTGAACCTGTTATAGTCTTGGTATTTACAACCTCCTTTGGCAAAGAGTTCCACAGGTTAACTATACATTGTGTGAAGAAATACTTCCTTTTGTTTGTTTTAAACCTGCTGACTATTCATTTCATTTGGTGACCCCTAGTGCTTGTATTATAAGGAGTAAATAACACTACCTCATTTACTTTCTCCACACCAGTCATAGTTTTATATACCTCTATCAGATCGCCACTTAGTCATCTCTTTTCCAAGCTGGAAAGTCCCAGTCTTATTAATCTCTCCTCATATGGAAGCTGTTCCATACCCTTAATCATTTAACCTTTCCAATTCCGATATATCTTTTTTGAGATGGGGCAGCCACATCTGCATGCAGTATTCAAGGTGTGAGCATACCATGGATTTATATAGAGGCAGTATGATATTTTCTGTCTTATCATCTATCCCTTTTCTAATGATTCCCAAAATTTTGTTAGCTTTGACTGCCGCTGCACATTGAGTGGATATTTTCAGAGAAATATCCACAATGACTCCAAGATCTCTTTCTTGAGTGGTAACAGCTAATTTAGACCCCATCATTTTATATGTATAGTTAGGATTATGTTTTCCAGTGTGCATTACTTTGCATTTATCAACATTGATTTTCATCTGCCATTTTGCTGCCCAGTCACCCAGTTTTGTGAGATTCCTTTGTAACAGTTCGCAGTCTGCTTTGGACTGAATTATCTTGAGTAGTTTTGTATCATCTGCAAATTTTGCCACCTCACTGTTTACCCCTTTTTCCAGATAATATATGAATATGTTGAACAGTACTGATCCAGTACAGACTGCTGAGGGATACCACTATTTACCTCTCTCCATTCTGAAAACTGACCATTTATTCCTACCCTTTGTTTCCTATCTTTTAATCAGTTACTGTTCCACGGGAGGACCTTTCCTCTTATCCCATGACAGCTTACTTTACTTAAGAGCCTTTAGTGAGGGATCTTGTCAAAAGCTTTCTGAAAATCTAAGTACTCTATATCCACTGGATCACCTGTGCCCACATGGTTGTTGACACTCTCAAAGAATTCTAGTAGATTGGTGGGGTATGATTTCCCTTTACAAAAACCAAGTTGACTCTTCCCCAATTAATTGTGATCATCTATGTGTCTGATAATTCTGTTCTTTATTATAGTTTCAACCAATTTTCCTGGTACTGAAGTTAGGCTTACCAGCCTGTATTTGCCCGGATCACCTCTGGAACCTTTAAAAAAAATTGGCATGACATTAGCTATTCTCCAGCCATCTGGTATAGAAACTGATTTAAATTATGAGTTACCTACCACAGTTAATAGTTCTGTGTTTTCATATCTGAGTTCCTTCAGAACTCTTGGGTGAATACCATCTGGTCTTGGTGACTTATTACTGTTTAATTTATCAATTTGTTCCAAAACCTAATCTGTAATGACACCTCATTCTGGGACAGTTCCTCAGATTTGTCACCTAAAGGGAGATTCCTCAGGTTTGGGAATCTCCCTCACATCCTCAGCCATGAAGACCAATGCAAAGAATTCATTTAATTTCACCGCAAATGGCCTTATCTTCCTTTAGTGCTCCTTTAGCATCTTGATCGTCCAGTGGCCCCACTGGTTGTTTAGCAGGCTTCCTGCTTCTGATGTACTAAAAAAAATTTTGCTGTTACTTTTGAGTCTTTAGCCAGCTGTTCTTCAAATTTTTTTGGCCTTCCTAATTATATTTTTACACTTCACTTGCCAGAGTTTATGCTCCTCTTTATTTTCTTCAAGAGGATTTAACTTCCAATTTTTAAAGGATGCCTTTTTGCTTCTAACTGCTTATTTTACTTTGTTGTCTAGCCACAGTGGCACTTTTTTGATTCTCTTACTATATTTTTTAATTTGGGGTATACATTAAAATTGAGCCTTTATTATGGTGTCTTTAAAAAGTTTCCATGCATCTTGCAGGGATTTCACTTTTGGCGCTGTATCTTTTAATTTCTGTTTAACTAACTTCCTCATTTTTGTGTAGTTTCCCTTTCTGAAATTAAATGCTACTGTGGCCTGGTCTACACTATGACTTTAATTCGGATTTAGCAGCGTTAAATCGAATTAACCTTGCACCCGTCCACACAACGAAGCCATTTATTTCAAAATAAAGGGCTCTTAAAATCGATTTCT